TTTGAGTTCTCTTTGTGTCCTTGTGATATTTTTCTGTTCTCTAATTGGCTGATGTGTTTACGGTGGTTTTGGTATTACGATACTCAATTAAAACCTTCTCATTAATTTACATTTGGTCTTGTAACCTAACATTGCATATGGTTATTTTACTAGGATCGTCCAATATGAATAAGAGGAATGATGCTCTACCTGAAGAAATTCTTACACTACTTGTGTACAAAGCTGCCGAAATAGAAGGCCGCGAGTTTCTCGAAATGGTTTTCAGCACTTCAGTTGGAAGAGTATTATTTAATCACTACAGAAACAATTTGACATTACCTGAAGATGTTGCTAGAGCAAATGGACATACCATCTTGGGAGATTTCCTTGAGGATGTGAATGAAAGGTAAGAATTATGTATTTCTTTGCTGGGTTGGTTATTTAAAGCCTTCTTGCCACCAGAAAAGTAATGCTGACATTATAGATGGTGAGAAAAGTCAATGATTTTCAGATAATACGATAAACTTGGACAACCCTGTTACCTTCATAATGGACTCCAAATCGGATCGAGAGATTATGGCTACTGTGTTCCTGTTTTCTCGTGTTCCTGTCAATACACGTTATTCTCTCAGAGTGTCTTCCTCCAACCATACGTTTTATATGCAATTTATTCGAGGGCTTTTTTTTTTCTTTTATCAATTGTCTTTATTCACTTTTAATTTGCACAAAACAATACAGTACAATACGTAAAACACTCAAAGTATTTACGGGAATAACAATGCTTACGTTATTTACAATGCTGACACTGTTTCGATTTATAGTTATCGCTACTCACGTTAAAGACGGCTTAGGGTTCAGATTATATGATACAAACACTACTTACATTATGATTTTTTAAATAATTAGCCTACTCCACATACGATACAATTCCGTTTCTACTTATTCTAGATCAGGCAGTTATTTCAATTAATGAGAGGTAGACTGCACCAGCACCACATCACAGACACAATGCAAATACTTCAATTAGGTTTCTGAGCGGAAGGTTGTTAAAAACTTAAATAAATAATGCAGATTTTGAATGAACCAACCACATATTCTCTCTGCGCAATATCAGAAAAGTAAATAAATAAAAACAAATGGATAAATAGAAGAAATCATTTTGATAATGGTTCTCATCTTTTCTTAAAATCTTGAAGCTTCTTGTTTCTTGAGGTAATGAGCCTTTCAGTCTCCTGCTTAGATTCTACTTTTTGTAAAAACAAGGTAAAGTTGTAGGCTAATTTGTGATGCAATGTTTCTGAAATGTTACTGAAGTCGTAAGAATTTGCAGTAGCGCTCAGCAGGACTGTCTACGTTACATCATTTTCTTACTCATACAGGCTATCAAAGGAAGTTTGCAGAGGAGACAACTATGAAACCATTGATTGGTTAGAGCTTAAGTATGCCGTGGACAAGAAAATTTGTCTACCCAGTAAGTTTTCACTTTGATCATAAGATACAGGTACGAAGCACAGCATATCGTGTGGAGTCGAAGTTTATTGCAAACAGTGAATACTGCTACACAGATCATCAACAGCTCCTTTTATTTTTTATTTTTATTTCTATTTTTTATTTTTATTTTTCACTACGGGTTTTGGGATATCTATACTTGTGCCTGGCCCGTCCCAAACCAGGAGATAATGAAATAGATGTAACCCTATTGTCAGGAACTTTGAAATTTTTTTTTATTAGCTGGCGGGTTCCACGGTATAAGTGTAGCAAGAAGTAAGTTATAGCAGACCATAGCTGTTGTCTTACTTGTTCACGCCAGGTACTAATGATGCCCAAGCGGTAAGTTCTCCAGTTGATGATGTGAACCAGAGTGGCTACGAAGCAGATGATGAAGCATCATCGTTGCCATCACCCGCTGACACTAACGCGAATGGTAGCGAAATGCATGATTCAGAACATGGAGATATAGAGCAAATTACATCAGGTGATTGTGAAGGTTCTTCTCCTTGAGATTTTTTCTCTGCCAATTCTACTCCTGAGTTATTGGTGTGCTATCACTTAGGCTTTCAAAATCATTTCAACAGGGCTTTTGTTCATTTTTATTTACTTATTTTAGTTATACATCTAACATTCATTTTACAAGCCATGCAGTATCTTTCAACAACGTTTCTAGCTTACCATGTTGT